AACTCCCATTAATATTATTTTGCGGAAAAGCAATGCGTGATTTTGCAAAAATGACCTAAATTGTGGGTTATATTCCATAAGAATCATGATATGACTGAAAATGACCAAACTTGTGGGTTATAGTCCATGAGAAATCGTGAATTTGGAAGTTCACATAAATATTTCTATTCAGAAAAACAAGAAGTGATTTAGCCTAATACGACCAAAGTTGTGGGTTACATAGTCCACGAGAACTCGTGATTTGATCGAAAACGACCAAAGTTAAGGGTTATAGTCCACAAGAAATCATGATTTGGTTGAAAACAACAAAAAATGGTGGTTATAATCCATGCCAAATCATGAATTGAGATCTCACAAAAATATTTCTATGCGTGAAAACAAGAAATGATTTGGTAAAAATGATCAAAATTTAGGTTATAGTCCAAAAAAAAGTGAATTTTGGAGCTCATGTATATATTTCTATGCAGTAAAGCAATAAATAATTTCTCCCAAAATGACCAAAATTATGGGTTATATGCTCCATGATAAATCGTGATTCGACCGAAAATGACCAAAATTATGAGTCATACACAACAAGAAATCATGTATTTCGAAACTTGCATAAATATTTTCGTGGAAAACAAAGAAGTGATTTGGCAAAAAAACAACTGAAATTGTGGGTAATAGTTCTCGAGAAATCATGAATTTGGGAGCTTGTATAAATATTTGGCTAAATTGAACTTAAATACTCTATTGTTTCCAAAAAAACACTTATATATCCCAAGTCACAAAATGGAGCAAATACGTACCGCAATTAGTAAAAAGGGTGAACTTGGCTACCTTCTGTTAATTGGCCATGAGAATATTTCTATGTGCTGGTCATGTGACTAATTCAATTGCTATCTATCTTCATTTATTCTATCATTACAACTATACCACCCTCTTCTTCAATTCTCAAGCTTTACAATCTCAATTTTGTTAAAGAAAAAAAGCCTACATGAAGACGTTGTCCAAGGCATCAAATGGTTTCTCAAGCTATATTAGGGGTGAAGACAAGAACCTAGGGTATATTTTTGTTAGTCAGTTTCTTCATTAGAAATGACTGGAATAGTTCTCTATCTTATCCAAATTTGTCAATCAATTCCTATGATCACTTATCAACCCCCCAACTGAGATCTCTCTCAAATCTACAAAATGGGGCTTCATTGTAGATTTGAGGGAGAGAATTTGGTGGTTTTGGAGGAAATAGTGTAAAATGGTTTTTTTTAAAGCATGAGGTTTCTTTACGAACAAGAGTAATATTTCTATGTGACAAAGCAAGAAGTGTTTTGGAAAAAAAGTCAAAATTATGGGCTAAAGTCTACGAAAAATCGTAATTTGGCAAAAGATGATCAAAATCGTGGGTTGTAGTCCACAAGAAATTGTGAATTCCGGAGTTCGCATAAATATTTTTGTTTGGGAAAGCAAGAAGTGATTTGTCCTAACATGACCATATTAATGGTATATAATTCACGAGAAATTGTGATTTGGCCAAAAATGATAAAAATTGTGGATAGTCCAGTAGAAATTGTGAATTTGTGAGTTCGCATAAATATTTCTATTTGGGAAATCAAGAAGTGATTTGGCCTAAAACGACCAAAATTATGGGCCATAGTCCATGAAAAATCACAATTTAGCTCAAAACATAAAAATTGTGGGTTATTGTCCATGAGAAATCGTGAATTTGTGAGCATACATAAATATTCCTATGCAAAAAACAACAAATGATTTGGCAAAAAAGATCAAAATTGTGTGCTATAGCCCTGAGAAATCATGCATTTGGGAGCTCACATAGATATTTCTATGCAGGAAAGCAAAAAGTGATTTCGTCAAAAGCAATAGAAAATTTTTGTGGGTTATATCGTCCACGATAAATTGTGATATGGCCTGAAACAACCAAAATTATGGGTTATACTTAATGAGAAATCACATTTTAGGATCTGCATTAATATTTCTATGCGGGAAGGGACGAAGTGATTTGGCTAAAAACAAACAGAATTAGGGTAATATTCCACAATATCTTCTATTTGAGAGCTCATATAAATGTTTTAATGCGGAAAGCAAAAAATGATTTAGACAAAAACAACCAAATTATGAGTAATAGTCCACAATAAAATATGAATTTTGGAGTTCGCATAAATATTTTTATGCGGCATAGCAAGAAGTGATTTGGAAAAAGAAATCAAGATTGTGTGTTACCAGTCACTAGAAATTATGATTTACTCGAAAATGACCAAAAATTGTGGGTTATAGTCTAGGAGAAGTTGAGAATTTGGAAACTTACATAAATATTTCTATTCGGGAAGCCAAAAGCTGATTTGGACTAAAACGACCAAAATTATGAGGGATAGTCCACGAGATATCGGGAATTTTAGAGTTTGCATAAATATATTTGGCAAAAAATCCATAATTATGTGTTATAGTACACGAGAAATCGTGATTTGGCAGAAAACAACTAAAATTTTAGGTTATAGTCTATGAGAAATTCTTAATTTGGGAGCTAGCTTAAATATCTCTATTCAGAAAAGCAAGAAGTGATTTAGCCTAAAATGAACAAAATTACGGGTTGCAATCTATGGAAAATCATGATTTGACTGAAAACGATCAAAATTTGAGAGCTTGCTTAAATATTTCTATGCAAGAAGCCAATAAACTATTTGCCTAAATGGACTAATAGTCTATGAGAAATCGCGATTTAGCAAAAAATAACCCTAATTGTGTATTATATAGTCCATGAAAAATTATGAATTTGGGAGCTCAGAAAAATATTTCTATATGGGAAAATAAGAAACGATTTGGCCAAAGACAACAAAAATTGTTGCTTATAGTTCATGAGAAACCGTGAATTTGGAAGTTTACATAATATTTCTGTGCTTAAAGCAAGAAGAGATTTGCAGAAAACAATCAAAATTATGGGTTAAAGTCTACGAGAAAGTATGATTTGGCAAAAGATGACCAAAATTGTGTGTTATAGCCCACGAGAAATTGTGAATTTGGGAGCTCGCATACATATTTATATTTGGGAAAGCAAGAAGTGATTTGTCCTAACACGACCAGAATTGCAGGCTATTGTCCACGAGAAATCGTAATTTGGTCGAAAAGACCAAAATTTTGGATAGTCCATAGAAAATTGTGGATTATAATCCACAAGAAATGGTGATTTGGTGAAAAATAACCAAATTTTAGGGTTGTAGCCCATGAGAAATTGCGAATTTGGGAGCTCATATTAATATTTTTATGTAGGAAACCAAGAAATTGCGTGTTATAGTCCACGAGGAATTTCTAATTTGGGAGCTCACATAAATATTTCTATGTAGGAACCGAAGTGGAGATTTGGCTAAAAACGACCAAAATTGTGTTATAGTCCATGAGAAATCGTGAATTTATGAGCTTGCATAAATATTTCAGTGCGGAACACTAAAAAGTGATTTGGATTGAATTGTCTAAAATTGTGAGTTGATAGTCCACGAGAAATCGTGAATTTTGGAGTTCAAATAAATATTTCTATGTGACAAAGCAAGAAGTGAGTTGGTAAAGAACAACCGAAATTGTTTGTTATAGTCCACAAGAGATCATGATTCGGCCAAAAACAATCAAAATTTTGGGTTATATAATCCACGAGAAATCGTGAATTCTGGAGCTAGCATAAATATTTCAATTCGGGAAAGGAAGAAGTGATTTGGCCCAACATGATCAAAATTATGGGTTATAGTTCATGAAAAATCGTGAATTTGGGAGCTTGCTTAAATATTTCTATTTGGATAAGCTAGAAGTGATTTGTCCTCAAATAGCAAAAATCATGGGTTATATTCCATGAAAAATCATGATTTTTACGGAAATAACCAGAATTGTGGGTTTTAGTCCATGAGAAATTGTGGATTTGAGAGCTCACATAATTTTTTTTTGCAGGAAACCAAGATACTATTTGGACAAAAACAAAGAAAATTATTTGTTAATGTCCACGCGAAATTGTGATTTGGCCAAAACGAACTGTTTGTTACAGTTCAGATGAAATCATGAATTCAGGAGTGCACATAATTTTTTTTGGGAAAGCAAGAAGTGGTTGACCTAGAACAACCAAAATCGTGGGTTATTCTCCATAAGAAATTGTGATATGGATGAAAACGATAAAAAATTGTGGGTATTGTCCATGAGAAATCGTGAATTTGGGTGCTCACAAAAATATTTCTTTGCGGGAAAACAAGAAATGATTTGGCCAAAAACGAGAAATACCTTCCACGAGAAATTGTGATTTGGTCGGAAATTATCAAAATTGCGGGTTATGGTCCACGATAAATCGTAAATTTGGGAGCTAGCATAAATATTTCTGTGCGGGAAAACAATCTCTGAGCAATATTTAAATTATTATGAGAAAGCCAGAGGAAGCACATTGAATTTATTTATAACTAAATTTGTGATATATATGAACTAGTTTATGATTGGAATATATAAAAGCTCAGCATTTTGCAATTCTTCTTCTTGTGTATGTTCATTGGTATAATGTTGGGGTGGGATTTCTCATGCTAAACTAGGAATTTTTATAAGGTCCGGACAACTCATGGTGGCCTTGAAGTTCCTCATAACATCTATTGCTAAAATTTTCTTATTATGATAGCAAAATCTATTGAATCGATTACGTTGTTAGTGAAGGGTTAATTTTGTCAATAACCATCAATCATCTTTGCTTAGGAAGTGGAAATAAACCGCACAGAGATCTCTAAGCAGGCATGCTTCCTTTTTCCTTTTGAGTTGGGAAATGTAGTGCTCTTAGAGCTGACTGCTTCTTACATTTATGTTTCTGCTAATTGCAGTCTTGTGTTTTCATTTATATCAGTGGCTTAACGTACTATGGTACCATGACTATTGTTTTATGTGCACATTTTTACTGATTTTATATATGTGCCACCTAGTTTGCGCCAAGAATTCATTTGTATTCCTTAATCTGCGCAAGTTGTGACCATCCATGCACATTTTTTTTTCAGGAGATAAGGCACTTGTGCTCTTACCTACAAGAATTAAAGAAAGCTTCTGCAGAAGAAATGCGCAGAAGTGTTTATGCTAACTATGCAGCATTTATTAGGTTAGTGAGGAAGCTGTTGGACCTCTTTGATTAACTTGGATCTTGGGATTTAACTTTTCTAACTCATCTCTATTTCTCTCTTTGCACACACATTAGGAAATTCCCTACATTTAACAACCCCCCATCCCCAACCACCCACCCACCCACATCCACACACCCGCACACACAAAAAAACAGCATGTGGTGGACCATTTTACTAGATGATCCTCACTGTTCATCATCTCGATATTTGTGCCAGAGAGATAAAACATATTATTTGAGGACCCATGGATTAAGTTGCTTCATTTGTCATTACTTTATTGAAACACTGCTTATTTGCAACCACTTGATCCATTGGGCGAAAAAGTCTCCACATAACGTTGAGTTTTATTCAAAAGAAATTTTGAGGGATTAGGATCATGATGAATGTTGTTTATCATCCATGGTGTGATTCACCATATGTTTTTCTTTTTTTGCAAATATTGGAGGAAGTGTCCTACGCCGGATGCTCACGTTCTGTCTGATGCATGTATTTACATGCTTAAATCATCATTATTTCATCCTATGATAACAGCTAAATTACAAGCTTCTTACTTCAGCAATTATTAAGTTTTGATAAGACTACCATAATAAATCATTTGCTCATATTCACTTAATTCTAACCCAAAAGTAAGCTCAAAGCACCACGCACTGAAGCTTATTGTTACTGATACTTTATAAGTGGGCGAGCGTGCTATGTCAAAGCCAACCTTTCAACTGCAACATTAAAAACATAGCATTAATGCATATTTACTTATTTCTAACCAATCATTCTTTTCTCAATTACATCAGTATCACTTAAAACTACCACATAACAGGTTGTAGCATGTTTGCCGTGATATGACAGCATCACCTATTCAGCTGCATCTGTAACAACCATTCACTTGTGGGTTGTTGTGAACATCATTCGATACTTTCTAGAACGTCTTATTGGGAAGTTTCTACTTTCTTTTTGCCCTTTATGGAAATTATCCCACTCGAAGCTATTGTTATCAACTTCAACTTGTATTGTAGGTTTTGTCCTGGTCTTTTTCCTATCAAGGAGGTAGATCCATATTTTAGGACCAAATATTTATGCTATTTATGCTTGGCAATTCTTGATTATGCTGCTGTTTGTTTCTGTCCTATTCAGTTATCCAATTTGGGTAAATATGTTATACAAAAGGAGATAAGACGAGGCATATGTTTCCTAAATAATTTGCTTTATCCATTCCAGAACTATTAAGCAGACAAATCAACTGTAACCAATATGTATATTTTCAGTTAGACTTTTTTCCTAAGAAAATTCTAGCCATGCTACTTTATGGAAATCTTACTGCTCAGACTTATTTTCCATGGTCTTGCTATTTGCAAAATTCCAAGTATTGGCTCAAAATGCCACAAGTTTTCATATTAAGCATCATTCTTTTGTGATTGGCAATTTTCTCGCAGAACATCAAAAGAAATATCAGATCTAGAAGGCGAGCTATTGTCGATTCGTAACCTGCTATCTACACAGGCTGCTCTAATACATAATCTAGCTGAAGGGGTTAAAGTTGGTTCTCTATCTGCTGGTTCTGAGGGTTCCACAGCTAATAATACATCAAATATTGAAGACCAAGAACCTTCAGATACAGAGAAATGGTTGGTAGAGTTTCCTGATATGCTTGATGTTTTGCTTGCAGAGCGTAGAGTAGGTGAAGCTCTGGATGTCCTGGATGAGGCAGAAAGTATAGCCACAGATGCGAAAGAAAATAAAAAATTAAGTACATCTGCACTAATGTCATTGCACACTGCTATCACTAATCATCGCCTAAAGCTGGCTGATCAGCTTGCTGAAGCTGCTTGCCAGCCTTCAACTCATGGTGTTGAACTTCGCGCAGCTGCCTCAGCTCTTAGAAGGCTTGGCGATGGTCACCGTGCACATAATTTGCTGTTAAATGCTCATAACCAAAGGCTTCAATATAATATGCAAACTATTCATCCAACTAGCACTTCCTATGGAGGAGCTTATACTGCTTCTCTCTCGCAACAAGTTTTCTCCGCCATTGCTCAAGCTGTGAATGACTCGTTAGAAGTCTTTGGTAATGAGTCAGTGTACATGTCGGAGTTGGTTGCTTGGTCTATAAAGCAAACAGAGGCTTTTGCACAACTTGTAAAAAGGCATGCACTGGCCTCATCTGCAGCTGCTGGAGGTCTAAGAGCTGCTGCAGAATGTGTTCAGATAGCAGTTGGCCATTGTTCTTTGCTGGAAAATCGTGGACTAGCACTTTCTTCTGTTCTTATGAATCTCTTCAAGCCCAGTGTTGAGCAAGCACTTGATGCCAATTTAAAACGGATTGAAGAAAGTACTGCTGCATTAGCTGCTGCTGATGATTGGGTACTTACATATCCACCATCTGGACCACGTACTAATGCAACAAGTCAGCCCAAACTTTCAAGCAGTGCACATCGTTTCAATTCAATGGTTCAGGTAACAAATATATATTCACGTTTAGCGTATGGAATATATAATTACTTCAGCATTTTTTTGAACAATTTTCTTTCCATCAGTCAATTTACCAAACATAGTTTGATGGTTTTTAAATTACTAAAATATGGAATTCCAGCTACTAGCCATGCATGAAATTTATTGTGTGATTGATTTTGCTTGGACTAAAAGAACTGTCTTGCATATATTCTTTTATAAGGATTATTTTCATGGTACTCCAACTATGGTGTGAATTTCAGCTTTACATCTTGTTTTTGCATATCATCTCTTCCATTTGGCATAATCTGATCCATACATGGTTATGTCTTCATATTCATTTATATTAGCTCCTCTGCTGGATATGTTACCTTTTAGTATTAATCTTCTTGGATAGCTTACTTATATCATTTTGATGTACTAGAAGATATTCAGAAACTCTGGATATCTCTGATGGTGGGAAGCAGTCCTTTCTTTTAGTTTTTAGTGTTTACTCTTTAGTTTGTCTTTTTTTTTTCTGTGAAATTTCCCCCATTTGTCTTCTGATTTCAATCTTTTGCAGGATTTCTTTGAGGACGTAGGGCCACTATTGAGCATGCAGTTGGGTGGTTCAACATTAAATGGCCTTATAAGAGTATTCAACTCTTATGTAAATTTGCTAATTAATGCTCTACCTGGTTCCATGGAGGATGAGGAAAACTCGGAAGGCTCTGGTAATAAAATTGTGAGGATGGCGGAAACTGAAACTCAACAGTTGGCTTTGTTAGCAAATGCATCTTTGTTAGCAGAAGAGTTGCTCCCTAGAGCAGCCATGAAACTCTCGCCCATTTACCATTCAAGTGGAGTGGATGATCCTCGGAGAAAAGCTACAGACAGACAAAACCGCATGCCAGAACAAAGAGAGTGGAAGAGGAAGCTACAACGGTCTGTTGATAAATTGCGTGATAGTTTTTGTAGGCAGCATGCTCTTGATCTTATTTTTACCGAAGAAGGTGAAACTCATCTAAGTGCGGAAATGTATATAAGTATGGATGCAAATTATGAGCCTGACTGGTTTCCAACTCCAATATTTCAGGTATGCTAGTTAGCATGAATGGACATATCTGCATGCCTACCATTTTATCAATTTATTTAATTGATTGTTCCAGTTAAGTTGGCGCCCATGACTGGTGTAAGAGACGAACTTTGTTTTTATGTTACTTGTCTTCTCATATATGATTAGACTTTTAGTTAGTAAGAGTTTCCGAATTGAAGCCGAGCTTATATTTTCTTTACATATTCCACATCTGGTAAGACTAGGGCTGTAATTCATGCCATTTTCACCTGTTCATACTATTAGTCTTTGTACCAGAGAGAATTAGAGGGGAATGACTTGTAAATTATAGGAAAATTATAGAGCTATTATAAAAGTTAAATAGTGTCATGAAGTATTTCTGAATAACCATTAACACCATAAACTTAAGTGTGAAGATTGAAAATCGACGGCTATAGATATTGAATATCAAACTATTTGGCTATCTTTGATGAGTAACATTAAAGTTCTCATGAATCTATTATGTCTTACTGTGTTCAGGAGCTGTATGCTAAATTAAGTAGAATGGCAACCATAGCTGCAGACATGTTTGTAGGCAGAGAAAGATTTGCTACTGTGCTACTGATGAGGCTTACGGAGACAGTTATATTATGGCTTTCAGAAGATCAGAGCTTTTGGGAGGATATTGAACAGGGGCCGAGAACTTTGGGCCCTCTAGGTCTTCAACAGGTATACCTTTTGAATACAAACTGCAGCTTTGCTGCTTGCTTTTCTACTTTAACCACAATTTAGTAATACAATCTTTTTTTTTCCTTTGTTTTTTCGTAGTTTTATTTGGACATGCAGTTTGTAATTCTTTTTGGACAAGGTCGATATTTATCTAGGAATGTGCATCAAGTTATAATTGACATTATAGATAGAGCTATGGGGGCGTTTTCTGCCACTGGAATGGATGCGGATAGGTACGTTCATCGCTAGGCAAACGATACAATATTAACATCGTTGGTGATTTCGTTTTTGTTTCGAACTTCAGTAACTTCAAATGCTAACTGAAACTTGTGTGATCCTTGCGCAGTGCACTGCCGAGTGATGACTGGTTTATTGACATAGCTCAAGAAACTATAAGCAGAATAAGTGGAAAAGCTAGAGTAGGCAATGGAGAGAGAGACGCGCAGAGCCCAACCGCCTCCGTATCGGCATTATCTATGTCATCAATGAGATCTCATGGGAGTTCTTGATAAGTTCGGTTTCTCTTGTTAACAGATCATTTTATATAATTGGTGATGTGTTCTTTTTTTCCCCGCTCATTGCTTTTTCACAAGTTTGGGGGGTTATTTTAGCTCTTGATTTTTTAGTGATTATTGGTAATATTATTCTTTGGAGTTTGGGTCTGTAACAGATCATTGGTTGTCTCCGGTCCAAACTCCAGTCTATGTATATCATTCTTTGAGACTACGAGGCTTCTACATGTAACTGCGAAATCATCTCTAAGTATTCAGACATTATTTTTTTCCCTTTTCATTTTTATTTTTATGAGCATGTATATCATAATTTCTCTTAAGTCTCATGAATCGAATATGGTGATGATGGTAGAAGCACTCTGTGTCTGTGTTTTACTAGATTTATATTGGACAGGAATCAAATTCAAGACCGTGAATGTCATATTGAAACCTTCAAATCGTTCTGGGAATAGGTTCAGTCATTACTCTACAATCTTATGCCAACGTATAGCTTCAGTCATTACTCTTATTCAACTTTCTAGATTAAAAAAAAATAGATGGAAAGGTATATCGACGCAATTTTCAAATGGATGCATCTAAAATATATACTTTTACTAATGGCTATAATTTCTTCAAATGATATATCATATGCATTGAAATACTTGGTTTGCTATTTCTCTTTTACTAATGTAGTTTTGTATTTTTTTTGACATTGAGCTAAAATACCACTATCACTTATCACAGTAAAATTCAAGCCGAGAAAGGATAAAATGACAAAAAGTATTAAGTTTTTTTTGCCTTATATCCCCTAAAATCTATCCTATTTACAGATGTATTCTGCAAAAATGCATATATGCTAATTTATGGGTGGTGGACCTGGTGGTAAGGGTAAATTAGCAGGGACAAAATTTTGAAATCGATCTTTTCGGGGGAAAAAATCAATTTCGACCTGCTTACAAAATATTTATCAAAATCAGCCTAATTTCAGGCACGTCAACAAAACGATGTCGATTTTGAAAAAAAAAAGTTTCTCAACTCCACGGGATTGGCAATCCCGTAGAGTTAAATTTCGTGCTAGACTCTAGGAGATTCTCACGAAATTTTTTCCCAAAATCGTCCTAGTTTGGCCAACATGGTAGAAACTATGCCTATATTGGTAAATATTTTGAAAGTAGGTCTATTTCGATAAATATTTTTGGGAATAGGTCTCATTCAAAAATTTACATGCAGATTAGGGGTAAATTTGCAAATCGAATAGACATGGGCGAATGATATGCCAAAAACCCATTAACAAAACACCCCCAGGGAAAAAAAAAGTGGGCATAAGTCGGCTAAAATTTCATCAGGCAGCGCTAGCGATCGACTCCCTCGCGGAGAAGATCGCAAGAAATGGGGGAAGACGAAGAGGAATCATCATGGGCAAAAGAAACAACCCCCAAAATAATCAAAATAATCTGCAGTAGAAATAACCCATCTTTATCTCAGAGAGACCTCTACTCCCTTTTGCTCGTCAGCCCCTCTTGCTATCGCGCTCTCCTCTCTGTCCCCAATCTCTGGGAGGTACTCACCAATCTTAACCCTAGCTTACTTCAATTACCCAGATGAAGAAATCGCTGTTTAATTGAATTTTTTTGGTGAATTTTGTGAAGACCCTTGATCTCAGAGAAGTGAATAGAGCAGGAGAGAAGCTGATCTCTGCGCTTTCATTGGTGGGTTTTGATGACTATTCGATTTTGCGATTCGTTTGGTTGGTTTTTTCCTTTTAGTTGGTTTTGGTTTTTTATTTGAGTGCAGGAGAGGTATAGGAATGTGAAGAGGATAAATTTGGAGTTTGCTAGGGATGTTGAGGATGAACATCTAGTTCAAGTTAAAAGCAAGGTATGTGATGATTGAATTTGTTTTCTTTGATAATAATGATGACTGTTGGAAACATTTTAAGATTATAGACATAAGGTAGATTTTGTTGATTAAGAAAAAATTATGATACTAATAGTAGGGAGTTTATGTGGTGGGTTTTAGAAAAGAAACAACCTTAGCTAGTTGCACATATATATATTTTTTATAATGTATGAGATTTGTAACAATCGAAAGATTTGTATCAATTTTATATAGTTATACTCCTTGGAATAAGTATACATTAAGGATCAACATTTGACTTGCTTCTTTAAAATTGACAATTTTAATGGCTATATATATAACCAACGAATTTTTTTTCCTATTTTTTGTCTGTGTCGACCAAGTGACAATTAAGTTCTCTTTCTTCAAAACTTGTGATTTTTATGAGCTATAACCCAAGATTTTTGTCTATTTTCGTTTGCTTTGGCCTAGTGGAAATTATTTGGCGTACTTCAAAATCTGCACTTTTAATGAGCTATAGCTCATGATTTTTTCCCATTTTCGTCCATGTTGACCTATTGACAATTAAGTTTTCTTTTTATACAACTCACCATTCTCATGGGCTGTACATTATTTTTGTCCATTTTCGTCTGTTTTTGAACTCACAATTTTCATGGGCTGTAAGCCGGTACTTTTGTTTATTTCGTTTATTTCAACCCAGTGGAAATTATTTGACATTCTTTAAAGTTGACAAATTTCATGATTTATAACTTGCAATTTTTGTCCGTTAACCGAATAACAATTAATTATGCGTACTTCAAGATTTGCGATTTTCATGGGTTATAACCCTTTAGATTTTGTAATTTTTTGTTTCATTTCGCCCTAGCAGCAATAAAGTTTTCTTTTTTAAAATTCGGGATTTTTATAAGCTATAACCTATTGTTTCTGCTACATTCCTACATGTGGGACTAATGGAAATTATTTTGCATATTTAAAAATTGACAATTTTAATGGGCTATAACACATGATTTTTGTCTATTTTTTTGACTATTTTAATGTGCTATAATGCATGATTTTTTCCATTTTGTATGTTTCGACCAATTGGCAATTTAGTTTTCTTTCTTTAAAACTCGTGATTTTTATGGGCTACAACCCATGATTTTTGTTCATTTTTATTTGTTTCGGCCTAATAGAAATTATTTGGCACACTTCAAAATGCGTAATCTTTATGAGCTTTAAACTAAGAATTTGTCAATTTTTATCTATTTCGACCCAATGGAAATTAAGTCTTCTTTACTCATTATGTTCATAGGCTATAGCTCATGATTTTGTTCATTTTCATCTGTTTCGACCTAATGGCAATGAAGTTTTCTTTTCTCAGAACTTGTCATTTTGATGGGATATAGCCCATGATTTCAAGTTTGTTTTGACCTAATGAGAATTATTTGGTGTACATCAAACTTCGCAATTTTCACGGCAATGCGGTTTTTTTTTCCAATTATCTACTGTTTCGATCCAATTGCAATTAAGTTTTCTTTCTTCAAAACTCATCATTTTCATGTGATATAAACCATGATTTTTTTTTAATTTTTGTCCCTTCCTCCTTAATGACAACCGACTTTTCTTTCTCCAAAACTTGTGATTTGGGCCTTAGTCCACGATTTCTGTCCAATTTTTTCTATTTCGTCCTAATGGAAATTAGTTGGTGTTCTCCAAAAGTCACAATTTTCATGGACTGTAACCGATGATTTTTGTCCATTTTCGTTTATTTTAATCCAATGAAAATTGACTTTTCCTTTTTAACAACTCGCAGTTTTCATGGGCACCCATGATTTTTTGTCCATTTTCGTTTGTTTTGTCCAAACGAAGATGTTTTGGCGTGCTTCAAAATCACAATTTATGGGCTATAACACAATTTTTGTCCATTTTCGTGTGTTTCGATCTGATGATAACTAATTAAAACTACTTCAAAATTTGTGATTTTCATGGACTATAATCCCCCGATTTTTGTTCATTTTCATCTATTTTAATCAAATAATAATGAAGTTTTCTTTCTTCAAACCTCACAATCTTCATGGGCTATAACCCATGATTTTTGTCCATTTTTGTCGGTTTCAAACAATTGGCAAATTAGCTTTCTTTCTTCAAAACTCATGATTTTTATGGGTTTAACCGATGATTTCTGTCCATTTTCACATGTTTCGACCTAGTGGAAATTATTTGGCATACTTCAAAATTGTAATTTTTATGAGCTATTAGCCACAATTTTTGTCCATTTTCATCCGTTTCCACCTAATAGTAAGTAATTTGCTTTCTTACAAAAAAAATATTGTTCTGAATCTTATATAACATTAGCAGGCATTTGAGTCACTTCAAGGTTTGGAGTGTCTAAATCTTAATGGCTGTCAGAAGATCTCCGATAAAGGTGTTGATGCCATAACTAGTGTCTGTCCTGAATTTAGGACATTCTCAATATATTGGAACGTTAGGTGCTCTCTCCTCACATTTGAGATATTTTCAAAGATTTGGTTCTTTTACTTTTTCATCCTAGTAGTAATATTATGTATGATATCAATCAGGATTACTGACTTGAGCATAAAGCACTTGGTGAAGAATTGTAAGCATATAACTGATTTGAACCTGAGCGGTTGTAAGGTAACTTGCGTTCACATCAATGATCTTGCAGATACAAATGAATTTCCTCTTTACCCTTTCTACTCATAGTAAAAACTCATCAACCAGATTTATATAGTCATTGTGGATAACATGAATACGACCGTACTCTGTGTAACTGAAATATTTTAGTAAAATATTCTGATGTTTTTTTGAAATACATGTAGCTTAATCTTTTGATTGACAATGTGCAGAATATCACCGACCAAAGTTTGTTTTTGATAGCTGACATTCAGTAGGGCTTAGATTACGCAGGAGCATGATTGGAGTTCCTATTTTCAGTTTTATCTCATGATTTGGAATGGAAGGAAATGTCAAAGAATTAAGAAACTCTGTCGGATATAGTGATTGATTTAATTGCAGATTTGGAGATGTTTGACAAATAGAATCTGAACTGAGGTATGTTGTGAATTCTCCTTGTATTTTTCCAGTACACAACTGTTTATGATATCAACTGTCTCATTTCTGGGAGTTAGTATTGCTCTTTCTTCCATTAAATATTACTAGGTATGTATATAATGGATCTCTTTTCGTAGGAATTAATTTACATCTGTTATAAGCATTTGATGAATATCATATTGAGTTAAATGTTTGTCTGAATCCTGGTTATGAAAGTGTTTTTTATTGTTGATATTTAGCTTTGAGCAGCTTGTTTCTTTTTCCTCTGAAGTTCAAGTGGTCTGGATTCTTGAAGGGAGTTAGTATTGCTCTTTCTTCCAAGTAACTTTGATTACAGCAATTCTGTTGAATATCTGGATATGTCGATGCAATTATATCTTCTATTGCATCTCTTGTTGGTTGTAGTAGAAGTTGCTCTAGAATTGCAATTTTAGACTCCTCTTCTTTCTCACAATCGTCGAAAGATAATGTCCCATTACCAACTTCAAGAGGAAAGTGGATACTTAGAATTTGAATTTTTACTGCCAGTTAAGTTGTTTAGCTCCTAATGTAGGTGCCTTTAGTTTTTTTACTTTGAGGACATAAATATTTCTTGATCTATAGTCATTTGTTATTTGTGGGAGCGTTGAATTTTTTCTTTAATCTAGTAGAAGACATTAATTGGCTGAGTTCCAATACCAACTATAGACTGTAATATTTGATGCTCTGCCACCAAACTGATGGGCAGCCTTTACTGTTCCTAAAGGCTGTGGTTTGACCCAGAACACACCCAAGATTCATCATCTTCTATATGTATTGGGTAAATTGGCCTAGCCGAAGTTTAAAAAATATTGTAGCTGGTTGTGACCAATCCTTGCTGGAGTCGGCAGTAATGGATGTTTCTGTCTATGTCATTGGCTGCTAAATGCTCATCTGTATCATGTATGAATTATTACTCTGCGCATGCCATCATGTGGTATGGAATTATCTGTTTTGATTGTAACCATCATTCAATAAAATGGACCTGATATCAGGTAGAATTTGCCTAAAATCACCTCCAAGAACCACTGTTATGCCACCGAATGGTTTGTCTGCCAACAATGGATTATCTTTTCCCACAATATCTCTTAGTGTTCTGTCAACTACTTCAAATGCAAATCTGTGCATCATTGGAGCCTCATCCCATATAATAAGATCTGTCTGTTTAATGAGATTTGCCTCTGGAGTTCCTTGTTTAATTCCACATGTTGAATGTTCATTCAATATGATTGGTATTTTAAATCGAGAATGAGCAGTTCTACCATGGGGTAGTAGTATTGATTCTATTCCAGAGGATTGGACTGGAAGGACTATTTTTCCTTCAGAATGAAGTTTTGTGCAAATTGATTTCCACACATAAGTTTTACCAGTCCCTCCATGTTTCTCATGCTTTCTTGTTACACTCACCTCAGGTGTGTCAAGTTGACAGATGTTGGGTTGCAAAAGATACTTCCTAGATGTGTTGGCCTCCAAAGTTTAAACCTTTACGCTCTTTCAAGGTGATTATTCAAATGTATCATAGTTCTAGTTAACCAGATAACTTTGCAACTTGTGTGATTGCTTTCATGTAGTTGCTCTGACAATAAGTTAACTTAAGATTTGCTATAATTATATTAGCTTGATACACATTGTTAGCCCACAGCTCACTTGTCTAAGCTTTTTTGGGTAATATTAATTCTTGAAACGGCATCTAAGAACCAAGTTGTGATCCAGGGCTCAAAGCTTTGAATGATTGAAACTAAAAAATGTTTACTCTTCAATTTTTCTGCCATTCAAACAGAAGTTCAAAGCTAGGTTGATATATGTCTCCTATTCAATATCCTAAGGATTTGGGTAAGAACGGTTCTTGACAGGATTATTTATTCTTCTCATGCAGTTTCACAGATAAAGCTTATGAAAATATTGCAAATTTAGTAGGTCTAAGATTTCTAGACCTTTGTGGTGCGCAGGTATTTACATCTCTGTGCACTGTTTTCCATCTTGACAAGTTTGTTATTTTTCTTGATTCTAAACTATGTGATCCGACTCCCAGAATCTTACGGATCATGGCCTATCCTGTATAGCTAGATGCAAGAATTTGGTATCATTAAATTTGACATGGTAACTAAAAGATTCATACCACTGCATTAATTTCTGAACTGGAATATACACAAAATTCATTCTTCGTTCATCAATTGTTTGACAGGTGTGTACGCATTACTGACGTGGGAGTTGTGGCCATTGCTCAAGGTTGCAGGTTACTCGAATTTCTCAGGTATCTACTGAATAATTACATTGAGATGGTAATACTCAATACTAAATTAACTTTAGTCTGTCGAATAATCCTGCAGTTTGTTTGGAATTGTTGGGGTAACTGATACAAGTTTGGAGGCTCTCTCAAGATTTTGCTCAAACACCCTTACAACCCTTGATGTAAATGGCTGTACTGGCATTAAGGTCAAGCTAGTTATTTCACTTATCTTCAATTTGTTTTTTAATATTACTTTGCGGAGAGAAAAGATAATAAATTTCATTTTCATCTAAATGTTTGGCAGAGGAGGAGCCGTCAAGACTTGCTTCAATTGTTTCCTCACTTGAGGTGTTTCAAAGTTCACAGCTAATGTTGAGCTATCAGCATCAG